TTTCAATCGCCTCGGTAAAATTATTTTGAAAATATGTGATACTATCTTTCAGTCTAGCAAAATGCGTAAAATTATTTAGAACATAGTATGTCAAACTATCTTTCAGTCAGCCTAGTAAAGTATAAGTGTGTAAAATATGTGCAACGAGAATTATCATTCGCAATCGTATCCAACGTGAAACTGCGTGAAATTGTTTTGCAAGTGTGGAGGGAACGTCTAAAGAAATCTTTCCCCGGCAGTTTCAAGAATTCGAGACGGAGAAAAGCTTCGACATAGTGCAGATACTGGTCGGCGGCAGAACGGAGGAGAAGTCCGTGAACCTGGCGACCCTGTCCGGCAAGCAGGAGCTCACTAACAAACTGTTCGTGTCCGCGTCGAACTTCATGATCATCAAATTCAGCACGGACTCATCCGTGGAGAGGAAGGGTTTCCGCGCCTCGTGGAAGACCGAGCCGCAGACCTGCGGTGGCATCCTCCGGGCAACACCCCAAGGCCAAGTTCTCATCTCTCCGGGATATCCTCAGAATTATCCTGGAGGGCTGGAATGCCTGTACATTTTGCAAGCGCAACCTGGCCGCATAATATCGCTCGAAGTACGTGACAAAAAGGAAAAGTTTCTAATTATAATTATAATCTTCTAATTATAATCTAATTATATGTAATTATGCAATTATATATTTGTACTTGTATAATTATATAATTATAATAATAATAACATATTATACTACATAATATAATAATTATGTAATTATATAATATATTATGTTTGTTATATTGTACAATTATAATAATAATATAATTATATATTATAATATTATATATTTATTATATATATTATATAACTATATAATAATTAAATTGTATAATTACATAATATATTATATTTGTTATATTGTACAATTATAATAATTATGTAATTATATATTATAATATTATATATTTATTATATATTAATATTATAATATTATTATATTGTATAATTATATAATAATTATATTGTATAATTACATAATATATTATATTTGTTATATTGCACAATTATAATAATTATATAATTATATATTATAATATTATATATTTATTATATATTAATATTAATATTATAATAGTATATATTAAATATAATAATTATTATAACATTATATATTAAATATAATAATTATTATAATATTATATATTAATAATATTATATTATGTAATTGTATAATAATTATATTGTTCAATTATATAATATATTATATTTGTCATGTTGTACAATTATATGACTATATAATTATACAATTGTATAATACAATACAAATATTTGTATAATGTATATTGTATTATTATATAATTATACAATATATACAATTATACAATTTCGTTTATTCAAAAGTGCTGCAGTTCGATAGCTCGCACATAGAACTCAATTGACGTCGACCTTTATTTCCAAGTGTTTGATTTCTTTACACTTTCTAAATCGAAGATCCACACACGCGTCCCGTATTGATTTTCGATCGATGTTTGACACTCGTAATTCGTTTCATTTGCCAGATCGAAGACCTCGACCTCGAGATGAATCGAGACTACATTCTAATTAGAGACGGCGACTCGCCGATGAGCAGGTCGATAGCAAGGCTAACGGGGAAGCTGGACGACAATCCTACGGTGATCATGTCGACCGGAAGTAACCTGTACCTCTACCTAAAGACGAGTCTCGGCGACTCGAGGAAGGGTTTCAGCATTCGGTACACTCAAGGATGCAAAGCAACGATCATCGCTAGAAACGGAACGGTTCAGTCGCCGTCCTTTGGTCTAAACAACTACCCGAACAATCAGGAATGCTTGTACAGGGTGAAGAACCCTCAGGGAGGACCGTTGTCCCTGAAGTTTGTCAGCTTCAACGTCCACAAGACCGACTTTGTTCAGGTGACTTGTTGCGAGCTATTTTCACAAATTAAATTAATCGTTCTTCGTTGACTAATTTTTAATTTCAGTTGTAACAAAGAAATTTAATACAATTTCATTTTAATTTTTACTCGCGTCATGACAACTGGGATTTTTCGTACAATTACTTTTATTAAATTTATTTGCAAAGTCATAATTACCTTTACCAAATTTATTCTTATTTAACTTGTCATATTAAAAAATTAATTTTTAATATAGGATGCTCTATCTTATATTTTTCCTTCACTGTGAATTTTATGTTATGACTCCCTTCGCGTATAATTACTTTTATTAAATATTCATCTGCAAAGTCATAACTGCCTTTACCAAATTTATTCTTATTTAACTTGTCATATTAAATTACCTTCGTTGATTACCGAATTATCTGCGCGATTCGAGGAGGGTCACGAACAACGATTGATCCGTTTCGATCTACAGATATACGATGGCCCGAATACCAATGGCCTCCGTTTGCACCCTGGGAACGGTTTCACGTCGAACACTAGACCAAAGATCACCCTGACGGCCGAGAGCGGGGAGATGCTGGTCAGATTCACCTCCGACGCTCTCCACAGCAGCTCCGGCTGGCAAGCAGAGTTCTCAGCAGGTAACTTTCGAGCTAGATCTGTGCCTATCCTATGAAATTGATGAAACTATCGCGAAAATCCTTTTTAACGAATTGTCCTCAGACTGTCCGCAGCTTCAATCCGGTGAGGGAGCGTTGGCATCGAGCAGAGACACGGCTTTCGGCACAACAGTGACATTCTCTTGCCCCCTGGGACAGGAATTCGCCACCGGCAAGGCGAAGATCACCACAGAGTGCCTTCCTGGAGGGAACTGGTCCGTCACCTACATCCCCAACTGTCAGGAAGTCTACTGCGGACCGGTACCACAGATTGACAATGGCTTCTCGATCGGATCGTCAAACGTCACCTATCGAGGCCTAGCTACCTATCAGTGCTACGCCGGTTTCGCCTTCCCGTCTGGGAGACCGACCGAGAAAATCTCGTGCATGGCTGACGGGAGGTGGGAGAAGAAGCCGTCTTGTTTAGGTGAATTCGATTTTCATTGGAGAAGCGGAGAACGAAGCTCTTTTATCATTAACCTTTCGACGTCGAGAATTTTTCATTCCAAAATATGCAATATATTTTCTCAGTTCTAAGTATATTCAAGTATAAACCGGGCGAAACAAATAATAAATTGATTACTTCTTAATAATTTCGAATCCAGTGATGTCACACGGACGAGTACAAAGGAAAAAGAGAGCGAACGAATTATTGTATACGGTTTCGGTCACTCGTTATGGTCCGCAATCAGTTGCCGGCGCAACGTGGACATCTTTCGCTACCACGAAGAGCGACTAAAGTCGTACCTATTTATCAAGCTCCTAATTAATTACTTGTAAACTAACATTCGTATAATCATAATAAGCGAAGTAACTTTTCAAATGTTTCTCTTAAAGTGTGACGCCGCTCGTAACAGTCACTTTCACGTAATGGAATGTCACAAAAGATGCAGCACACACTCTACATTGTCTTTGGAGAGTTTTGTTTAATAAGAAAAATGACGAGTCGATGTTAATGAAACTGTCGATCGAC